TAACAGGGGAATATAGACTTTTACAGTACAGGACAGGAGACACAGGGACAGGAGATAACAGGGGAATATAGACTTTTACAGTACAGGACAGGAGACACAGGGACAGGAGATAACAGGGGAATATAGACTGTTCTACAGTACATGACAGGAGACACAGGGACAGGAGATAACAGGGGAATATAGACTGTTCTACAGTACAGGACAGCTGCTGTACTGGCTCACGTGCTCACGATCCCCGAGCGCCCTCGCTCTTATCTGCACGCCCCTCCCGCGCGCCGGCAGCGCTGTGTGTCTCGGCTCGCGCACAGGTACAGCGCCGAGTCGTTCCCCAGCAGCCCGGACAGCGTCAGGTTCACCGACCGGTCGCTCAGCCGGACCGAACCGATCCGGGACCCCAGGCTGGGGTCCTGCGACTTCTCGCTGGCTTGTTCTTTGTCATAGGAGTAGAACTCCAGCAGCGGTACCAGCTCGGCCCCGCCAGGAATCTGGCGGTACCAGAAGAAGTTATAGTTGGCCTGGTTCACGGTGCACGAGAAGCTCACGGAACCGCCGCTGGGCTCGGTAACGGCGGACGCGGGGAACTGAGAGACCAGGACGTTCGTCTGGGACCGACAGGCTGTAACATAAGCAGGGGGGGGAGTTGGGGAGGACAGAGACACACCGGTGAGAGATTATCGGGGTACAGTGAGTGAGAACCGGGGGACAGACGGTGTAAAAGCTGGCGGGAAAGGGCAGAACCGACACGCGAGACGACTTTGGGTGAGGAGACTTTTCCCTCCAGCCTGTTAATGAAGAGCCGTGCGCCTCTTCTTGTTCCTCCGAGTTTATGTCCGAGTGAAGCCTCTTTTTGTTAAAAAAGAAAAGAAAACGCGCCCTTTCCCCTGTCGCGAGCGGCGCGGCTGTTCCTGCACGGACCCGCGCCGCTCTCGCGCCGCCGTGCGTCTCTGGCTGCGCAGTAGTACCACGCGCTGTCCGCGGGCCGCAGGTCCTTCACGGTCAGGCTCAGCTCGGCTCTGGTCCGGACGGACTCGATTCGGTCCCGCACGTCCTGCGGGGCGTCCTTCAGCTCGGTGTCGGAGGTCGAAGTGTAGGAGAAGGACAGCAGCTCCAGCCCCGTCGCTCTGCCCGTGTCGGGCCGGCGGTGTCGGTACCACATCAGGCTGTTGCTGTCGGACTCCGTGCTGCACTGGAGCTTCATGCTGTCGCCGGGTTTGAGCAGCTGCGGCCCGGTGGGCTTCTGGGTGGCGCTGACTTGCTGCTGGCCGCCGGCGACTGAGAGAGGACAGCGCGGAGAGACACTGAATAACCGTCGCGACCGCTCTGAGCCTCGGCAGACACCCCGAGACACACAGGCCGGCGCCTCCGGGGGATATCCGCCTCGCGGGATACTTACAGGGCAGCGCGAGCAGCGCCGCGACCGCGAGGAGCAGAGCGCGGGTCTGGTGCGAGCCCGTCGTGGCCATCCCGGGTGCGCGATCAGGTCTGCTGGGAACCTCTTGCTTCTCTCAGTCTGTCTCTCTCCGTGGGTGTAAATCTGCTGTATGTCCCCCTCCCTCTC